GAGGAATGCAGGCCAGCCAGGGCTTCTCAGGAAACAATATGTTTAACAAGAATATGTGACAGTGGAAAGAAAGAGGCTGAGCAAGGGTTTGTCTGCTGCTCCATTTGAAAATGCACATGGGTAAGAGGGAGGCTGTGGAGTTAAGGGCAGAATTTCAACCTAAGCTTTGGAGGGTTTTCTGTTTCAAACCAAGCCATACAATGATTTACCTGTTGCTAATTGCTGCGGCAGCATCCTAGGTTAGAAAAAACAGTGACACTGCACGTGCAGGCAGTAGGGGCGAGGGGTTCATAGCTATTCAGATGACAGGAAAAACAGCCGCAAGCTTTCTTGTCCTCTGGGCTTACCCATGGACATATGTATCTTGCTTGCTCTCTGGGCTTGCCTATGGATGCTGGGTGTCTTGCAGTGGAAGAACCATGCCTCTGCCACGGGTTCTTTGTGTGGTTTTAAGGCAGAGGGATAGCAGCTGGGATATGTGCTTCTGTGTTTTATTTGTGTAGCTGTGGTAAGGCTTTGCTAGTAGCTCAGTTCTTCCTCCTAGAAAGTGGAAAAGCAGGAACAAACCCAAATCATTTCATATGTGTGTATCTGACTAATTCTGAATAATCCAGAAGGGCGGTGAGTTAAAACCAATGGCAGCTAAGTGTCTTTGCCCATTTGGTGTGTCTGTGCTCTCTGTCTCCCCTCGTAAATCATAACAAAACACAAACTAATTTCTTAAGACTTCAGTTCTTCTAAGAAAAGGGGGGCCCTGAATTATTTTTATTTTAACTGAGCTGTGTGTGTGTTTTCTCGGGGAAGATCCAATTTTAACACACCTGCATCCACTTTAACCTTCCCTTCTTTGTGAGCCCTGCTTTTGCCACCAGCCAATTAGTGGACTCAGGAGGACATTCTGGGTCAAGCTATACCAAGTGCTGCAAATCCTCATTAATGCTAATTAGTGCTCAGTAGGTTAATTGGTGGTGAAGCTCATCTTTTTTTAATTATTTGAGCAAAAGAGCCAGTGGGACCTTGTGGTCAGCTTTGAATTATTCTGTTTGTTTTGATGCACCTCATTTGAATGTGTAAAGCCAGATGTTTGTTGCCTAGATTTAAGAGCTGTTTGCTTTTGTGAGGGATGAGAAGAAGAGAACACAGAAAAATAAAATTAAGGTCTCTCTTTACACCTTAGAGCAATTCAGATACGAAAATGGAAGAGTCATTTTGTTCGTGGAATGGAAAATATTGTTATGAAATAACATGTTGCCTTTAGTTTACCTTTTGATTTGTCATTCACTTAATGAATTCATGTCATGTTAGCCCAGACTTCCAGGCAGACAGAAATCATCTTGGCCCTCTTAGGAAGCCATTGCAAAGGTATTCCTGGCCCAAGGTATTCTTCATTATTGACAGCAACTGAATCTGATTTTATATGACTTGAGTAATGAGGGTTTTTAATCGTTTTTTCATAGTAACCCTCAGAATTGGGACTTCTGTAATAGTTTTTGTTCTAATCTACTGTTTGTTTTGTTCAGTTCAAAGCATTTTGTCTGTGTCCTTGTCCTTCATATAATTACACATAGATGGCTTCTCTCCCTTACCCCTTCTGAGGTCACTAACCAACTTAAGCATATTTCACTGTCACTTTCCAGGTCCCTGACTCCCATAAGGATGTCTGGGTTTGTGACTTCTTCCATTCTGATACCATTTTTGAGGACCTGAGTATGAACACAACTATATCCAATATTAAGAGTATGATCTCATGATCTCTTATCCTTTTGCCTCAATGCATCTTAAGATGCCGTCTTTAGACCCTGTGGGAGGACTTAGGCACAGGCTCTGAGTCACTGGAAAGCAGAATTAACACTTAAAATCATGGCTAATACTTGGGATTGATTTACAAGCAGTATTTCTGTGAGCAAGGCCTAACCTGGTGCCTGCGAGTCTGATGTCATCGTTAGTTTTGCATCAAAGCGTGAGAGAGACTGAGAAGTCTTCACTTTGTTATCTGTTGGTAGAAGACAAAAACCTTTTTTGAAAGGAGGGACCCTTTTTGTATCAGTGCAAACACTTCAGTCCAGTTAAGAAACCCACTTAACTTTTCTTTTCCTTTCAGGGCTCATATTGAGAGATCTAATATCTGTTAATAAATCAAATACTCATCCATTTCAGAAGAGCTGTGTTGCGTTTTACCTCTGTGTATTAAGAGCTCATTTTATAGCACTTGACTGGTCTTGACTTGCAGTCTATTTAATCATCCCTTGTACTTAAACCACAAATGCTTTACTTCTTCCATGAGTTTTTCTTTCTCTGCATAGATACGATCCATTATAATTTCCCAAATGGGAAAATCGGATGTGACTTCAGTTTTGAAATTGTTGATTATAATTAGCAATATCAAAGATAGTCTACCTTTGGCTTCCTTCGAGCTGCAATGTGTCCCTCCTGTTCAGAAGTCCCTTGACAGCACGTTTTCCTCCGCACATTGCACGTAGAAGCCTGAGGAGGTAACCAGTATCGGCCTGTAGCAGATACCGTCCTGCGCTTCCTCTGTTGCTGTGTGGTAGACAGGCAGATGAAGAATTTCTTCCTTGTGCCTTTTGCTGCTGTGGTTAATTCCATTCTCAGTGTAAGAATTTTGTGGCAGATGTTGCTTATTTGTCCCTTAGAACAAGTATTTTTGATTGGTTTAAGATTTCTTTTTTAAGCCATCTATCCAAACGCACCCTCTGATTCTCCTGCTGAGGTGGGAAAGACTCTATCTGTATGTCCTTTACCTGCAGAAGATGAACAAGTACTCCACTTCTGTCATTCACAGGACAGCAGTAGATGCAGTGTTTTGCTACACTTACCAGTCAGTGGACTTAACAAGGTACTTAGCAGTCCTCCAAAATCAGCAGGAGGTTGCACAATACAGCATTGCTAGTTTGCACATGCGCTGGTAATGACTGATTTTGTAGGCTGTCAACTTTGTAAGCCTGTTAAAGGTTAGAGGAATCTCATGTCTTGCTTTGTGCCTGCCATCCCCCTACCTGGTGATTCCTTGTAGTACATGCTTTGTATTATGCTGGCCGCTTTGAGCAGTTGGAGATTTCTTTGTGTAGGTATTTGATTTCTTACAGTTGGCTGGTCTTTGGTTTTTTTAACCAATTGGATCTTCCAAGATTTTTTAGAAGCTTCCATGCTGTAACCTTGGTTTTAGTGGAAACCTGTGATCCTTTCTTCTGTGAACGCATGCAGATCTCATGATCCAAGAGCTCTTAAAGATTGTTTGACACTCTCAACTGGTGTTTATAGTTTTGCTTCCAAACCTGTTATCAACTTCTATTTTACGTTGAGGGAATACTACTGACTGTAGGCAGGGAAAGCAACCTGGCCTATTTGTTGCAGGAGTGATTCTGTGGTGCCAAGGGAAGGAGGGGAAGAGACCAAGTGTCTGAAAATGCTGACAGTTTCTAAAGATTTTAAGGAGGGGTCCATAGGCTGTACAAGTTTCTAGTTCAGGTGTCTGAGCTTAGAGACCACAGGAAAAAGAGAAGGATTCCTCCCTTTTGTGGACATCTTATTATGCACTGAACAGAGGACTGTGAGCCTGGATATTACCCTAATGGACTATTAAGTGGAATATAAGCCTGTATGGCTGGATTACATATTATAGGCATCTCAGAGTTTCTTTGGTTACTTTCTTGTTTGAAGTTAGCAAACTGCTTCAATGAAAGGGAGTTGTTTAAAGCTGTTGTAAGCTTGTTGACAGCAGCAGCTGTGCTTGCTGGGATTTCCATTCCATATACCAAGTGTATGTGAATTTGTAATCTAATCCAAGAAAGATATCAGCATTGGCATTTAGATGTGTACCCACATTTGCAGCATAACCAGTGGAATTACTGCTTGTGAATAAAGATGTGAAAAAAACAAGCAGACTGTGAAAATGGAAACACAGTGTAAATGTGGTGCAAATGGGATAAAGATACTGCAAGGAGCTGCACTAGCAAACAGATCCCTTCTATGCACTGGCCCCATCTCAGTGTTGAACAAGGGTGAGATGGGAAAAACCAACCCAATCGCGGAGGAACTTTGAACTACAATAAAGTGTAGTACCTTTTTCAAAATAATCTGATACATAACAGTCATTTGAGGCTCCAGTGCAATGAGATTTGGACACCTACGTTATTTTAAAACCCCTTTGAACTTAGTGGGACTTGTATACGTAATTAAGTGCTTTGAAAGGTCAGGACTTTAGCCATCGTTTGTTAATTCTGGGCATAAAGTTGTGACGAAATGAGTTGTGTTTTTAATAAATATGAGAGTGGAGAGTGCCTCTACTGATTTGTGTACATACATTAAACCTATTGTAAGCATACTGTATTTTTCCTCTTAAGTTTGTATTTTCACTTTCTGTACATTCAGTAATAATTTTTCAGGCCTTTGACAGGAACTGTGTAAAACAAAGGGCTTTTTAACCAAAACCTGGATAGAAAGTTTTCTTTCCAGTGTGGGAGGTGAAAATGAGAGTGTTCTTTAGAAGACAGAATTAACAATGAGTCTCACCTTTGGTTGCTTCAGGCCCTTTTGCAGGTGTGATAGAAGCGTTTTACCGTGTGCTAAGCCACAATGCTTTGCTCCTTCTCTCTAAGGCAGTTTGTGGGTGCCCTGATTCATGTACATAATACTAAAGAAAAATCTCCTTTTTAATGTTATGTATCACTTGATGTCAGACTTCTGATATCGTTTGTAATAATTTATAGGCATTGGGCATTCAGAAATCACAATGATGGTAATATCAGGGATAGATTAACTAAATGGAAACTTGAACAAAATGGCCTTAGAAAGGAGGAGTTTCCATTATTAGAGTTCCTTTGATAATGTGCAGTTTAAAGAAAGAGAAAATTATTTTTCATGCTACAACCATCTTAAGTACTGACAAAGTCAAAGCTGCCAAGTACTTTAAATACAGTTGACTCTTACCTTGAAATTATCTGGTTACTCACTGGTAATTTTTTTTTTTCCTCCCTCAGCGTGAACGAACGTGATCATTTGTTAAAAAGGCTCGGTAGGAAAACTCCTCCGAGCCTTTTCCGTGCTCATTCTGTCCAGCAAAGCGTATCACGTAAGTAGCGGATCATGTATGCATGTGTGTTTCACAGCAGTCAGTCCCAGATGAGTGAAGCGAAGGGTGATTATTTTTTAATTAAATTGTAGGTAGAGATAATCTAGTGCAGAGGCTGAGCTGCCAAGCAAGACACATACATTTGGAAGTGGAATTAGTGTATTTCGCCCTAGGCAAGTGGATCTCAAATGTGGATAATTCCCTAGGATCCAATCAACAGGCCCAAATGACAAAATCCCAATATGCAGGTTCTCTAAATGTAAAATTCTGATAGTCTCAAGAATACTGTAAAATCAAAAAAACTCTGCAGGATAAAATAAATGTTGTGATAGAGCCTAACTTAAATAGAAATGGTTGCTTTATGGAAAGTCGTATTAGCTGTGGTTAGCTGAGAATACAGCGATAGTTCAGGGATGCCACTTAGGGGTTCTGTGTGTTTCTGATGAGGAAGGCCATGGCGTGCAGAGCTGCCTCTCCCTCCTCTCCCTCTTTGTCCTCTGCTGGGAGAAGAGATGCACTATCACATCTTGCTACTGCTGCTATTTGGAATAAATTGCATTTTTTTTTTGTTGGTGTGTAGGTCATCCATTTATTCATCTTCCTAAAGGAACATGTGACAGGCCTTGATCTGCTGGACCTGATGTTTTTTTGTCAGTGTTAGAAAGGCTTCCGTAGCATTAAAAATAATCTTAACAGCTCTGTAGTCCAGATACACTGAAGGGCCATGCTGTCTCAAGGGACCAGGGAGTCCAGTCAACCTGTTCTGGTGGTAAAAGGCAGCCTCTCCTGTGATTAAGCTGGTAGTCAAAATATGCTCATCTTGCTAAAGAAAATAGCCCCCCAGCGTGCAGTACTGCTGCACGCAGGGCAAGGAGCAGGCACTCAGGATTTGGGTTTCATATTGCCGTTGCAGTGAGAAGTGACGCCCCTGACTGTTAAAGAATCCTAAGGAAGTCAAATCTCTGTGCTGGCTGTCGTCTTCTGAGGCAGAACTGTTATGGTTCAGGCCATGGAAGCAGGGCTGGGATTTGAGAACCCAAATGCCTTACGTATGCTTATTTTCCGTGGGGAGTTTGACTAGAAGGGGTGGAACAGTGACGGATCTGCTAGTCCTTGTCCTTCATAGAGCCGTTGCAAGGCCATCACTGTCAAGGGATGTAGGGTCTTTAGCGATCAATCCCATTGCTCCTGCGAAAAGAGGCCAATGTGCGGAGCAGCCCTGTGGACCATGTGCTCCTGCCAGGATTTAATCCTTTGTGTCAAGGAGCCAGGGATACTGATGGCAGCGTGGCTTTGGGTATGCAAACACGCTTTTTGAGGAGATTCCAAAGGCGATGATTGGCAGAAGACATCCGTAAAACACTTAAATAAATTGCTGTTAAAGTAGTCTGCTGTAGAGACTTACCACGGTGCAGAAGGGAGATACACCAGTGGTGACTAGTCAGACTTGATATATGCTTTTAGTCTCGTAGAACACATCATCAGGTTGTTAGTAGGTGAATAGCTATTGGGAAAGAAAAATGAGATATCAAAATAAATGCTAATTTGCATAACCAGCTTCCCTATAAATGCAAATCATTAAATGCTAAACGAGTCAGGACAGGTTACAATCAGCCATCTGTTTTTCACATGAACGTAAATTTTGATTGTGAAGCTGTTGGGACTGAAAGACACTTTTTGTGGCATATCCATGACTCTTTAAAAATTCTGTCATCTCTTGTCAGATGTTATTTTCCAATGTTGCATAGCTGCTATATGTACAAGGCCATGTGAAATCCAGGGAACATATGTGCTGTTTTCACAACCCTAAATTGTACAACTGTTTACTAAATACTAGAAATCTTCAAAGCGAACAGTTGATGAATAGGGCAGTAGCCTTGACATGCTGGGCCAATATCTTAAATCACACTACAAGCACTCTGTTTGAAGTCTTGAACTGTTCATATGTTTCCACCAGGCTCCAAGTTCCCAGCCTGCGAAGGCCACTTCTTCCAAAAATTGCTTTGTGGCTTCATCTCAGAATCTGACACTTGCATATAAAGCAGGAAAACAGTTTGTTTAGTTAGAGCTGACAAAGGCTTAAGCAAATCAATTGCCTTAGTCCCAACAAGGAAGGAAAATGGGATTAAATTTCCTAGTGCAGATTGTAAAGATGCAGTACTGGTTTGAGAGTCACGTTATTTTTGACAACTGTTTCCAAATTTTTGGAGAGGAAACAATGCCTAAATAGCTTTGTTCCCAATCTCATGGAAAGGAGAAAAATCTCTTGGGGACTTTCCAGGCTACTACTAGTGGCCTACGGTAGGAGGAAAAAGATGGCTGAGGTAAGTCTGCAGAGCCGTGTATCGAAAGTGGGGGGCAGAGCCACACAGCCAGTGCCGTGTTAGTGCCATACAGGAGTGCCAGCCAGGATTAATCTCTTAAACACCTTCTCCCAGTAAAGAAACTGGCTCAGAGTGACTGCGTTGGAGAGTAGCCCCTGTCTATCAGGAAGAGTATGCCCTTAAAGTAAGACCTTCATGGCTGTTTTTCTTGCACTGGCTTTGGTTTTGTGTTCCTGAATCATGTAGAGCTGTCAGAAGCATGAAGGAAATCTATCTAGTAACTGTACTGTCAAAGATTGTGTGGTTCCTTCCTACCAGTATAACTTCTGGGAAGCTTTATGAAAACTTGGAAAAAAAAAAAAAAAGTGAAGTTCCTGTTGGATGGCATTGTCATGAGGCTTTGGTGGAAGAGTTTTATGTAGTTGTCAAGCCCACGTGCTAACATAAAACCAATCTCAGTGGAATCTTGTAGGCAGTGGAGACAACACTGGCCTCTAGGCTTGGCATAGCTCCTGGCGAAGGTGCCTGGTGAAATCGGAGATTGCCCGTTGCCATCTGCTTTCTAAAACCTCTTAAGAGTGAGCGGGAGGTGCCACCAGGCTCCTCTCAGATGTGTGTTTGGACCCTTCCCTTTAGTCTTCTGTGGGGTTCACGCTTGAGGGAGGGAGCAATAATGACTCCCAAAAGCTGTCCCTCTCAGAGGGTTTGCTGGCAATGGGGTTTTCTCCAGGTGAACTTTCTCCAGGTCTCCATCGAAGTTCATGTCTTTCTTTTTTGCTGTGACTTTATGAAGGTAGCATCTCCTTTAGACAAGCTCTGTAGATACAAAAGAGGGTTCTTGACCTCCCCTTTCTTCCTGCACAACTGACCTGTATCACCGGTGCCCCCAGAGCCTCACCAGCAGGGAAGGGTGATGCTCCCCACTTGCTTAGGTTCCCTCAGACCTGTCCATCTTTAAGGAAAGTCTAGTGCAGTTTCCCTCCTGTAATTCAGAATACCCCCTGCCAGTGTCCGGTTGTCATTTGTCTCAGCATGCTCTTAAAAACAGCTGAATCCTGCTCTTGTTAAGCACTGCTCTGGCAGAACTCCCCCTGAAACTCAGAGAGCCGTGCCTGAATGAGGATTACTGCACTTGGCCCAGATTTCCTATGCTAGCAAAGAAAATCCCTCTTCCTTTGACAGAATATGGTGATTGCATAGAGTAAATCTGAACGCAGAGCGTATGGTTTGCACCTTATTAATCAATGGAGAAAAAGCACCTGTCATCTGAGGTTCGTTTCACAGTATAGGGGCTGGCGAATAATAAATAATATAATAATGTGTTCATGCTGAGGGCTCTAATCCCACCATTTATTCTCCACTAGCAAGACACCTTCTTCCTCTCACTTTTCTGCTGGTGCGTTTTGATTTGAAAAACAACAGGGTAGCTACTTGAGATGCTTTTTAAACTCCATGTCCTCTTATCTGGCATGTGTTTGAAATATAGTATACGTTCTGTATTTTTTCCAAGCTACATATTTGTTGACTGTCAAGTAGAGTTGCAATCTTTTAAAATCAACTTAAGAAAAAGAAATAGGAATAATTAGTTTAGAATCGAGGCTGTGGCATCTGGCTCAGTTTTCTACATGCTAATACCGGTAGGTTTGTATCTGGGACAAAAGAGATGGGACCATTTGTCAGGAATTCCTCTTGGGTCCTTTAGAAAACACAGGCATAGTTTATCAGCGGAGAAATGAATGATTTCTGTAAGCATTTGTCAAAATGTTCAAGATTTAAAGCAGCTCTCACTTTCCCAGGATAAGTGGAAGAGGGTTGCCAAAGAAGTCAAAGCTGAGTTAGCATTTACTGTTTAATTGGTAAATGTGAACTGCGACATCATAGCAAATCTCCTTAAAAACTGTGTGGAACCAGACGTTTGGCCTGAGAGAGAATTTGGCTGGCCAAGTGATACCCTAGCGTTGATTTTTGTTATGTCAGAGATATCTTTGGTATCTAAGCAGCAACATTTCCTAAAAGATTATTTTTTTTAAAGCCATTCCCATCCCCCCAAACCCTAAAATTTAATTTTAGTGGATTTGAATCTGGGCATTTTTCTCTGAAGGCAAACAACACGATGGTAAAATGCATTTTATACTTCGGACTATACTAAACCATAATACCACTGCCTGTATGAAATAGTGAAATGCTGCAGAAGGTAAGGTTTCCGACATGCTTCCCGCGAGAACTGCCCTCTTGCTGGTTGGGCTAAACAAACCCCAGGACGGACAGTTCAAGTGTATCAGAGGAGAGTGCAAGGAGTAGGAGGCCTCTCAAATAAATCCCTGAAGTGTCTAAAACTGTACGTGGTCCTTCCATGAGCAGATTTTCCAGAATAAAAAGAGCGCTCTGGACCCTTTCTGGTCCTGGTCTTGGAAGCTGTTGCATGTGAGTGGGCTGTTAAGCTTGCGCAGCTTTACTGTGTTCAAGATGCATACGTGGAGACGGTTTCTTTAGAGAAAGAAATTGCATTGCACAGACCAGAATAGTCATTGCAGGGAACAGAAGAAGAGTGCGCTAAATTAGAAACCTAATGGGAGACTAGATTCTGATCTACTAATAGAATATCAAAGCTTTAAGAAACCCCAACAGGATGCTTTTAAAATTCAGTAGGTTGCCTGATAATATCTGGTGTGAGTGAAACCTTAGATTTGATGAGAACGTGAATCTCCTCTTAACAGATGAGTTCCACTGACAGATACTCAAAAGTGTGCCTTTCCTCCATTAATAGAAGGTCTCCAAGTACAAAGGTCCTTCCTTCTGCGACGGCTGTGAGTGGGTTGTGCCCATAAAGCCCCAAAGAAAAGTGCTCCTTCCTTGGGCTGCTGCAGGAGAGCTGAACAATGAGGGCCTTGTTCCCAGGGCAGGCTCATAGGTGTGGTTTTAAAACTGGAGTTAGGGGAAAAGGTCAAACTTCCGAAAAGTTCCCTAGTAACCGGTAGATGGAAACTTTTCATTGTTTTTGGATGGAGTCTGAAAAGAGTGGAAATGTAGAGCTACTTGGGGAATGCGGATGGGACTTGAGCATTCACGGTGTTCTGACTCCACAAGGCACAGTCAGCTGCCTGAACAGCTTGAAGCTCGATTTTAATTGTAATGTGAATAAAAAAATGTAATATGAACTCATCTTCCTGTCTAGAGATCAACAGGGAACGTTTTAAAGAAACTGCCAAATGTTGAGCTTCAATGAAGTAGGGCAGTGTGCAAGTACGGGGGTCACAGCCTTTCCCACGACATATGCACAAAACCCTCATTGCTGATATTTCAGGATGGATCAAGAACATGAGGATGTAAGGATATCCCTCATATTCTTACCATTGATTCAACCCATACCATTCAAACCATTGATTGTCTTAGCTTGAAATTTTTTGCCACGTTCAGGTGTTTTCTACTGGTGTGAGAGTGGTGAAAGTATTTCTTTGATTGCATTTTGCAGTGGCTTTGCAGAGTGCTTGGGCTGCCTGGCTGTTTGTAGGCCTGTGCTAGCACTGGAAATAAGCAGGTCCTGGGAAGATACCTGGGGTTGACGGGCTCCGCACACTTGTGTGGTCAGTGCTGGATTTGCAGTAGTTATGGCAGTTGAAGGATCTGCTGTGCTGAATGATCTTTCTTTATTTACTTATAAGTAAATATAAGAAAGCCATCTTGATGGAGACCAGGCTATGGGGTATGGACTTCAGCCTTTCAGGGCTTAAGCTTGTGGTCTTTGACCAAGTTGAGTTTCCATTGAGAGTTTAGCCAAAAAGCTAACAGTATGCTGGCCCTTAGCGTGGAACAAACCCACTGGAGGTAGTTGTTTAAGTGTGAACCTACCCTTTTTTAAATGAAAGCTTGTTTTGTAAATCGTATTTCCTTTGCAGTTATCCAGCACACACATACTTTTTTCCAGAAGACTGTTCGCATTTTGTGAATGTATTCTGTGAACCTTCAGCTAGAGGCAGGAAAAACCAACCTGTACCTCTGTAGCTGTATGTATATTGGCATGGAATTGCTTAGGGAAAACAAAATGGGATGCTGGAATGGTCAGTCACATAATCAAATCAAAGTTCATACTGTCCTGCAATCCCTCCAAGAGGGAGATGTGACTGGAGTTAGCTCTGGGTGATGTACTTCTGTTTGAATGCCCTCCATTTACTGGCAAAGATTTCCTACCATGCTTGTGATTTAGGTCAGCTAACCTGGTGACAGCGTGCCCTCCTGCTAAGGGAGCGTGAGTTCTGCCTTAAGAGCCCAAATCTACAGCAAAGTCCCCGTGGCTTCAGAGGTGACATTTACCTGCATTCTCTGAGAGAGGAGACGACCCTCTGCGTTAATTGAACAGCGGTCATCCCTAGTGTTGTGGGACTGTCTTCCCAGCAGCTTACAGCTGTAAAGGACTTGCTGACCACGCTCCCTGTGCAGGCGTCAGCCAGAGGAAAAGATCTAGGAGTGCTTGAGCATCTCTGTGCTCAGCTCACATGGTCCCAACTTGGTTGTCAAGGTGAAGGTTTAACAAGCCTCACTCAGGGGTACAGTTCATTTCTGGGTTTCTGGCTACCAGCATCAGTCACCTGCTTCAAAGCAAGCTGCATTCAGGCCCGTGGGGAGCAAGTTCAGACTACAGCACCCAGGCTGCTTAGGGGTCTCACATCCCTCCTGCCTTAAGGAGGTGTTCAGCTCCGTGTGCCTTTCTGTCACAGGGTCCCTCTGTGTTGTGCTGCAGCCCTGTCTCACCTCGGTACCTGATCTAGGGGGGGGGAATATGCCTTAAACCTGTCAAGGGAGGACTCCTGAAAGACTTTTGCTGGGTCTGTGTGTAGTAATTGGGACATCCGTCCTTACATGATGCTGTGTCTTTCAGTCTGGGGTCAACCTGGGGCAGGATTTCACAATTCATAAACTCCTCCTTCCAGAGCTGCTCAGGGGAGATGGAGAGTTGCCCGTGGAGAGTTAGCCATGGTATAATTCTTGGTTTGTCCTAGGCAGTGTTCATGTCTGCCAGCTCTTGCCTGCTTTCCTACTACAAAGCATTATCTGGTTCTGTATAGCCTGTGACTTTCCTATTTCTCCATTTTTGTAACTATGCTAATCTGCCCTTCTCCTTTCTGGTTACCCATTTACACCTGAAAATCACCTTTCATTGGTGTCACAAAGTCTGTTGTCCTTTGCTGTAGTTTTCTGTTCAGAGTTTTATGTGGGGTCATGTCTGCTTTAAATATTGTTTGGTGTTTCACCATGTTGGCCCATTAGCTTTTGTGACTGTTTTATCAGTAATGTGGTGTTTTGCAGATGATGTCAGAAATGTCACTTGCCTTGTCCACAATACTTTAAAAGAAATCAGACACATGGGTATTTTCTTCTGAGTAATTTCTAGGGAGACCAAAGGATTGTGCTAGCTAGCAGGATTAACTTGTGCAAAATAGAGACCTCCAGAATATGTTTAAGTTTGCTCTATTCAAGATAAGGGTGACTGGCCGAGACAGTCGAGAATTGCTTGGTGTGATTGGTCAGGTGCCACCTGGAAACTTGTAAAAAAAAAAAAAAATTCCTGAATGGAGTCAAGAGGAAGATGTGACTCGGATCCGGTTGTGGTCTAGACATTTCCATGTTCCTCCAGGGAAACTACTGATATCAAGCAGACTGACTATAGAGAAGTTGAGACAAAATGCAAATCTCTACCTGTCTGTTAAGTCTTTAAAGAAGCTCTGCCACCATGGGAGTACACGTGGTGTCCAAATCAATCTGTAGTTTATTAGTGAGGCTAACTCAGAGGGATATGTTGAGTGTCTACACTAACCTGGCCTGGGGAGGGGAGCAGGAGGACAGCTGGCAGCAGACATCCTTTCTGTGCGATGTGGGCAGTGGGGTGCACAGCTGTAAATGTCAGAAGCACAATACAGAAATGAAGTTAGTTGCAGTCTGTCATGTAACTCTAGTGATGCCTAAAACTGTTCCTAAAAATGGGCTGTGCCCTTGAGCTGGACTTCAACTTTTCTTTTTTTTCTTCCTTTACTTTTTCAGATGGGTATGCATTTTCCCAAGAAGAACACGGTGTTGTTTCCCAGTCGCAAGTTGTTCGATCCTACGATACAACCAAAAGGAGAGCAGAAATAGAATAAATGGTTCTTCACTTGATGGGTGGTGGGAATAATGGGATTTGGATCAATGCATCCACTGTTAACAGGCAGCAGCAGCCAAAACACCAGAGAACTCATTTCTGTGGCCTTAGCCAACAAGTTTCTGTATTCTCCCTGCAAACCTTGAGTACATATTGTGGGGGGAAATCATTGTTTGAATTCAGTCGCAAAGCTCTGCCTAAAGTTTTGTTTATGTTGTTATGAAGCATTTGACTGTGCTATGTGAGGTGTGAAATTAAAAACAATGTTTTACCACTATTTAAAACATCAGCATAAGATTGTTCTGGGAGAAAAGTAGAAAATTTATGTTCCATGAGAAATCAGCCTTTGCTTAATTGGAACGGGGTGCTGAGATTTCCTGTTTTGTTACACACAGACCAAGTGCACACGGCTGCATGCGGACCTTACTCCCTCTAATATTCACTGTTTACTAATGTGGCTGAAATTTTAACAGGCAATTTGGCATAAAACTTTTGATTGCAACACAGTCTGTAGCTAAAAATGCTTATTTGCCTTCTTATGACAGAATAACACAAGATAGCAATGAATTACTTAGAGTATCTTTTGCCCTCTTACAGGATTTATTAGGGCTTTACCTTAGCTTTCTAAAACCCAATTAATAGCTCACAAAGCCAGGATGTCGAAGTCAGAGAGCTCGGCAGGGCAGCTGTCTTGAGTGCATGGCTTTGTGCACAAAGATGAACTCAAATAGGTGTCTCCTGGTAACTCTTCGTGATGTATTTGGACGTGCATTTCAAATGTAGCCTGGGATTTCTGTCCATGATCCATTCTCACTTTAACAATAGAATGAAACACTGAGAACTTAAAAGGTACAAGCTTGTCGGATGTTGAGAAAGAAGATCGGATGCGCACAGGAGACCGACGCTGTAACCCCAAAGAAGCATTCCCGTGACCAGGTAGGATAGATTTGCAAAGGCAAGTTAGGAAGGATTTACACACGTGCGTGCACACACATGTACACACACAGAGCTGGTCATTGTGAAGAGAAGACCTGCTGTTTGTTCAGCCAAACTAGTCACTCTTCTAGATCTTGATCCATCAACAGGCTTCCCAACACACTTGGACCTGTGAGCCCTGGAAGGAATGCTGGCTCCACGGCCTCACTGTGCCAGTAGGACAGGCGTGCTGCTGCATAGATTGGAAATTTTGGAAAAAAAAAAAAAGCAAAAACTGGGGCATAAGTTAAAGCTGAAAGAGCTCTTAGAAAGCTTATGCTGTCCTCCAGACAAGTTCTATTAATTTTAGTCGCCAAGACACGTTTCTGAATAGCATAAAGTAAATACTGCTGTGTTTTAACCAGGTTTCATGGCTAATGTGTATACTACATCTGTGCATTTAATAAGTTGGTGTTGTTTTTTGCCCTGTTGACCATCTTCCAGAACTTTTTATTGATTTAAATATATCGGAAAGCAATTTGAATATGAATATTTATGTTTAGCAAGGAAAAGGGAAATGCCAGCCTGGCCCACTGGCTTAATCTTCCTTAAGGGTTGTGAGTAAATGCCAGCGCTCAGGTGTCATAGTTCAATTCTTGGTGCCACCTTGGAGACTCGGAGTCCCCTTCCATGTTAAAAAGCAAATTTTGCTCCTGCAGCACCAGGCAGAATTGCTCTTGGATTAGGCTAATGGCACAGAGGGAAAAGTCATCACCTTCTTTCTGCAGTGCTAATGAGACAATTATGCAATAAGGGAAACGTGCAAATAATTTTGCCATAGGCATGAATGTCAAGGGGCCAAGTGTGGGTGTATATATTTTCTGGGAGATGAATTTTGTTTAAAGGCACGAATACTAGTGCAGAGAATAAATAAGGGGAGGGTAGACCTGATCCCAGGAGCTTTTAAATCTTAATGCTGATCTAACCTGTTAAACACTTTCTTTTATTTAGAAACAAAATCTATTTAGGAAATGTGGGGTGTAAGCCTGTCCTCAAAACCACTAACTGTTTCTTCCTTTTGTAACAACACAAGGAAAATTAACTTCCCACCGAGACAAAGCGAGATCAGCTTAGTCTTTGTACTCTAAGCCACACAGTAAACATTGGTATGTAAACAATTTGGAGGCTTTTCATGAGGATACAGAAAAAAATCTTCTAAAAACCTCTGGATAATGAAGAAGGGCAAGTAAATGTGTCGAGCAGAGAATAGAAGGGATCCTGGAGTCTCTTCTGTTCTCAACTTAGTGCAACAAAGTTTTACAGAACATAAGGAGAGATGCTGGGGAAGAGCAGCTGTCATCTAATGTGATTTATTTTATTAGTGCAGACTACAGGCTGTATCATTTTGACCTCTCTGTAAATTGAGGTCAGTGTGTGTCACAAACACAAACCCTCCCTAGAGTGAATAGTGGCTTAGATTGAGGTACGTGTGTTGGATGTCAGCTCAATGGGAATTACACATGGGGTTTGTCACAGGGCTATACAGTATGTGACACTGGGGCTAGCAGGTCAGACTTTATCATCACTGTAAGGCCTTAATCTCTAGCTGAGTTAATCCTGTAGAGCCCACCCAGGTCAAGCCCTGGCATTCTTCTTGTTCTTTGGAGTCATTACAGGAATTAATGTATTGTAATATGCTGTAGCCTGACTGTTGGAGTTGCTTGTCTTGGTGAACAATGATGAGGTGTATTCCAGTGGTGTGTTAGCAAAAGGAGAACGGCAGCTGCTCTGCATCAACAGAATTCCTTGTTCATTAACACAAATGCACGTAGCAGGAACAGCAACCTTTGAAAGCGCTATGTGAAAGTGTTACCAACTAGACAAGGTATTGGAGCAGAAGGAATGGGAGATTTCTGCTTGACCATCCAGACTTAACTGCCTAGGGCTGATCAAAAAAGGATGTCTTTGGGCAGCGTTCTGCACTGACCAAAGTGGCGATGGGGTTTTGAATATTGGGAAGGAAGTGGCGATTTTCCTGAATTAAACCTGGATCTGGTTGCTTCTTTTTGTAACACCGTAATCTCTGCTTGCATAGAAGCTGCTGTTCCTTTAACGATTGCCTAGTAGCAAATTAAAGCTGGTGTGCGGGAGCCTGAGCTGAGCACTGCTGAGAAGTCTGGTGACATTTTCTTTTCCTTGACAGGGCTTCAGGTCTTGCTGTAGGGAGCTAGCATGGGAAGTCAGTAATAACTTGTCAAGGAGAAATGGCGAATAACCAATAAAAGTATTGGAGTCAAACTAAGCTGCTAATGTATCTAAAAATGTATGTGGAGTTAACATGAACTATATGGGCTGTAAATTAAGATAACAGCCAAGCCTCGCTAATCTGCACTTCACTAGACCACACGCCTCTTAGTGCATGCCAGAAATGTGAAGTCTCTTCCACTGCCTCAGCCAGCAGCTAATAGCAGATGCTGCAGGGAAGTCTCCTGTTACCAAGATTACATTATTTTTACAGCATGTACTGGAGTGTGTTTGCTGGGAGACAGTCAATGCTCATAAATAAAGAGGAGAAGGCTCAGGTGGACCAGAATAAGTGAAATGCAGCGACTATAACATGGTTGGTGGGCACACTGGCTGCAGCTTGGCCCTCCATGGACAACCCCACGAGCTTGGGAGGTGCACAGTCCTTGCGCTGTCCCTGTCCTGCAGGCTTATTTTGCCCTTTTGGGCTAACTCACCAAATCTGCTGTTTTGCATTGCCTCCAGTCATCAGTTCAGACTAGTGATGCCCTATTTACGTTCTCCCTTGGTTTTATAAATAATGACTTAATTTCATTTTTAAATACTCTGAGGACTGTACTCTTGCTGTTAAGCCTCACACTTGAAGTTTGAAGCAGAGCAGCCCTTGAGCGGGTGTTCACCCCCGAGAAGCACTTTGGATTTGTCAGATTTCTCCCTAGTTTTAAGGGACTGAGGATATTTTACCTTAGTTTTAGATCATCACACAGTATCAATGCCTTAAACTTCAGTCGGTTTGCAGGGAGAGCAATTCGTGTCTTGTTGAGTCTAACAATAAATGGTCATGACATGAAATGCCTGATGAGTTGGAGAAGAATTTGGCTGTGTCTGTCGTATACCTGATGCATCTGGGTAGCAGTTTGCTTCTGAAACGTGGCGCTAACTATGCATGTTCCTCAGTCTCTAGACAGTTGGGCTCCTTCTGTCCTATCAGTCAGGACCCTTGTATTTGTCTCTCCCGGAGCCTGTGTATGCTGCAGCTCCATGCCTTGTTGAAGATGCTGAGCACCAAGCAGATCCAGACCCTCTTCTCTACCTTCTACCTGCAGGGTCCCCTGGGCACGGCCCTGAGGCCGTCCCGCAGGCAGCTGTTGGAGGCACAGCCGAAGTGCCTATCAAATGGGGAGAGTTTTGAATTCAAATCCAAGTATCGTCCCTAGCCATAACTCATAATTGTCACTGCAGGCAGTGTAGCGAGGTATACAAGAGATGAAGACTCAGCAGGTTATGAATCTGGTGACTGGGCTTGTACACGGCCCATTCTCATCCCACTGGTCAGGCCCTGTGTGAGCAGCTGTGTCACTTGGCGAGCGAGTGAACAGGCAGTGGCACTTCTCTTTAGCATGTTGTTTATTTGCAGCCACATCACTGTTCCTCAGAAGCCCTCTCTGCAGCAGCTCTGTCCCAGATGCCACTCTGAAGGGCGGCTCTCCAGCTGTTCCCTAACACGGTGGCCCAGTTGTCTTTGTATCGTAGGTGGTGACCGGTGGGACTCTCCCAGCAGCAGCAGGGGTAAAACAAGCTATTCCAGGAGCACAGCCCCTGCTTCTTTGGAAATGACCTTAGTGCTGATGAGGTCGGGCCTTTGACATGACCTGAGCTTTCAGATGGATGGTTTCTAGAGCTTATTATTCCTGGTGCTGAGCCTTCTGGGTTGACTGCAAGCAATTCCTGTTAGAATAGAGTGAAACATGCTTTTACGCTTTTTCTTGTACCGTACATGAAAGGCTCAGTGCTTTGTTCGGTGAAACCATACACATTGATTATTTTCTTAGAGCTTTCTCCTCCTGTGTGGCATTGGGGAAAGTCTCCTTGGTTTGATTACACAGTTAACAGCCCCGTTCCCATTTTATTTTCACTAGTCTTATGATATTGCTTACACTGACTTCTCAGAACTCAATAGCTCCAGGAGGGGGAGAGCTCAGATCCTCATACCTGAAAGCTTCGTTATCCTCCAGACACCCAAGAGAGCCTCCACTACCGTTCAGCACTTGTGACCAGAGCTGTGTGTCTGGAGAAGACCACAAGACAGATCAGTACAATAGATGACAGCAAAAGAAATCCATATGGATGCGGAGAATAACTCTTTCCATACCTTTTCATACCTAGCAGCAAGATTGATAGAGGCTTTGAGCCTTGTTTGCAAATGAAAACCAGAAAGTGCCCTGTGCTGCTTAGCCACATAAGTGAATCCCGAAGGTGATTGATTCTTGGTGACCTGCAGCCTGGCCAGGTTTATCTGGCCGGGAACGTGCTCTCGGATGGGCTGTCTGGAGGGGCGAAGGGGCTGGGAAACGAAATAGCTTGGCCGAGACCACTGCTGCTGTTAAAGAGCTGTGATGAAGCTTACTTCTCCGGTTCCTTTCTGTGGCTCTGGGAAGGGAGGAGGAGACCTGTGTTACGAGCTTCTGAAGCTCCGTTGTCTCCTGAAGCTGAGCTTTCTCTGGCACCAAGCAGAGTCCTGGGCTTGGAGAAAGGGAACATGTCCCTGCCAGAAGCCCCCCTGCTTGGCGTCCCTTGGCTCTAGCAGGTTCTTTTCTGGGTTACGACAGGTGGCTAAATTGTTTACTGGCTGCTGTTTGCCTCATGGACCTACAGGAATTGAGCACTAAAATTATTTCAGTCCTGACAGGGAACGTCTGTCTCGGTTAACAGGACTTCTCTTTGGGTGTTGCTCCTGGCCAGGTTCCTAACTCCTGGGCCGGTGGAAGGGGCTCGTTAATCCGAGGACCTGGGTCTTTTTGTGATAGAGCGTGAAGCTGAGGGGTTGTTTCGTTTGGATTTGTGGCTTGCTCGTTTGTGGTATGGACAGAAGGTAAAACAGCTGAGTGCTAGCGCTTCTCCAAAACCTTCCTTTATGTACGAAGAAGGTGAGGCAAGTTCTCCTGAATTCTGCCACGAGGGGATCATTCTACCTCAGCATCTCTGTAGCTATGAAAGAGAAATAGAAGTGGGTAAATGACAAATTGTGTGTGGGCAAGCCCAGGTCTGGGAAGTCACGCAGAAGTCTAACGATGAAGAAAAGGACTAATATGTTGCCAAACTGTCACTGTGCATAGCCAGGAGGTCAGCACCCTTGTAATTATGGAGCGATGAAGCCAAGGGGAAAAGCCAACATTAACAGAAAGACGTGATTGTTTTAAATTCTGACCACCTTACTGGGTGGCTTCCCTGCGAAGATGTTCCAGATGTCGTCTTGGCATAAATTAATTTCAAAACATCTGCAGGGTTTCTTAGAAAACATGGAATTTAACAGACAGTGAATATGCTCTCCTTTGCCCTTCTGGCTGATACTTTGATTCAGGACGGGAATGCAGGCACTTGCTGTTCTTACTATCAAGAGTCCTTAGACTGAAAGTTGCTCGAAGTTTTTTTTCAACCTTTTTTTTTTTTTTTTTTTTTTTAAAAAAGAAAAAGGGCTCCAGATAATATAAAGCAATGAGGCAGCCAAGCCCTCTGGGACTGTGTGTGCATGTGTGTGTTGGAAGAGTCACCCGACTTGAAAACCTCCCCGTGTCCCTCCTCCTGCCCCCGAAGTGCAGCCCATTGCGCTGGGAGGTCAAATATTCAGCGGCTTGAGTGACAGGAACTTTAACAGCATCTTTTTCATCAGCGAGCCAAGTCATGTGCCCGCTTGTCTGTCGTATCTGTACTCGAATTGCTTAAATATTGTTTCAGATGGGGAGGTTTTAATCTGGATATGCAGAGAGGAGTAATGCTGTGGGGGGATGTTTAATTGGCTCCCAGCAGAGCAGCAGTGGTGTGTGGGTTTTTTCCTCTAGAAGTGTTACCATTTTCACATCCTATTAATGTCCTCTGGTAGTTTAAATACAGCATAGCATTACAGTGGAGTTTGTTTCCCTCCTAGACTGAATACAAATGAAGGTCATTTACTTGTATTTTTAGAAGGTTTGGAAAACTTAGAAAATTTGTAGCTTTGAACAGCATTGTTGACTGTTGTATGTCTGCACAAAAATATTTCCAATAAACCTTTTATTAAAGCAATCCAATGGACAGAAGCTTGTTTGTTTTATCCCCCCCACAAGTTTTGCAGCAAGAGTTCAATGTTAAATGCATTTGAGATTTAGCCTGCAAAGCTGGTGAGTGGATTATTTTTATTTTTTCATGACCTCTTGGGTGTGTTTTAAGGGCCTGCTTCTGTTAGTGCCAAGGACAAGGTTTGGGTGCCTTTAGTGGGTCTCAGATCAGGCCCCAAATGCAAGACTAGTATGGCAAAATAAGAATGGTACTGGTGAGCTTAGAGCAGGTACCTGATCTTTGAATAATGTCTCCAGGGGAAAACCATCTTTTTACATAAACTAGATGGACAGATATTCTCCTACAAATAATATCTTTGATCTCACCAAGGCTTCACCAAAATAAACCTGGGAAACCTTTTGTCCCAGCTAAGTCACGTAGACACAGCAGGGGAAGATTAAGCCCTAAAATTTCCTTTGCTCCTTTCTTGCATCTAAATTTGCAAGAGGCTTTTTGAACACCGGGCCCGCATGCTCTTGCGTTTGTGGGGGGAGAGCGGTCTGATGACACATCGAGATGTGCAGTGATGCAAGACCACGAGAGATGCCTTTCTCCAAACCCTCCTGAGCGCAGGGGCAGGATCTCTCCTGGTTCTGCCTCGTCAGGAATATCATGTCCAGTCTCTGCTGACGGCGCTCAGCCGATGCTGCCGAGCTCGCTCGCGTTGCCTTGCCCGGAGAAGTACCTCTCAAGCTCGCTTGCCTCAAGCAAGACCAACGGTGCGAAGCACAACACAAAGGCTCTTGTGTCCCCGGTAGCTCTGCATCCCTGTGCTCCGGGGGACGCGTGCTGTGATCCTCTCTGCTATGATGTGTTCATTCTGTTTAACAAATATTTTTTCATAGGGAGCTGTGAGCCACCTTGTCCCTCGCGCTGGACCTGCTGGTGAGCTGGGGGTGGCACACCGGAGAGCTCGGCCGGGCGAGCCTGGGCTGTGAGACCTCAGGGCACAGCCAGCTCAAGGCAACAGCAGCATCCTACTGATACTCGAGTCACGGCTGAAGTTAAATTTGCAGAGAAGATTGGCCTTACTCGGTTTTTTGATGGGGAACATGCATTACAAGACCCTTATGAAAGTAAAAGTGCATGAGCCTTAACAAAGAGATCTTTTTGTCTAAATATTATTAGACACTGGAATTAAACAGATTTTATCAGGAACAAAATGCATATTTATATATATAGTCTGGCTAAAACTTTTCTTCCTTGGGGTGCTATAACTTGATGACTGGTTTTTTTCGTTATAGATTGCCGACAGAACCACTTTTAAGAGCATAGAGAGACTTTTTTAAAACAACAAATTACTTCTGGATTTTTAAAATTAGGAAACAAAAAGGAGGTGTAAGCCAAATTTCCCCTCTTCCCTTTACGAGTTACTGCTTGAGCGCATTTCAAAACACTTTTATCCCAGAAGCCAGACCTAGTACCTGCTTTTCCTTTGCAGAGAAATAAAAAGCCAGCGATGAACTCCTTGTGTATCCCTGTTGTGCAGCGGTAAACGCCTGCTCCTTCCCTGGGCCTCTGTAGCAGCAGTCCAGCCCTCAAGTGTGTAGCAGCAGGAACTTCGCTGTATGTAAAAGCTTCTCACACATCTGGGCAATCAATTATGCCAAAGTAAAATTGATGGTAAGCTTGAATAAGCTTTATTCGGTTGGTGGTGGGAGAACTTGATGCTTAGCTGACTGCTCCCTGCACTGTTGTCTCTTGTACAGCGCACTGAAAAGGAAATGAATCTCAGAATTGTTAAATATAACAGATTGCTGCTTAAAACCCTTATTAGATATATTAGTTGACTAATCACCTCAGAGACTTTCCCTCTAACAGTTTGACGGGCAGGGCTGTGAGACTGTCTAGTGCTCACGTCCCAGAGCCAACTATTTGCCAGAGCAGCTGTTAAGTCCGTTGCCGGCAGGCTTTGGTGCCTCATACCAGACCAAAGGAGAATCAAAGTCCCTAAACCCGAAGGTTAATGCTCAAGTCTGAAATGGGAGCATTAAAAAATAAGTGTAACTGAGAAAGGTCCTGTTGAGGAATGTTAAGCAAGAAGATTTCAGAAATGTAATCCCTTTCTGTGAGCGCTGCTGCCACAGTACCCAGCCTCCTAGCGCAGCCCCGCGCCTCTTCAAGTTCCCCCAACTTTTGGGGTGCAGCAGGTCCTCAGAAACTTGGAAAGAGTTTCCTCCTGCTTCCTCCTTGGCAGAAATACGGGGCTGCAGAGAAATGAGCCTTGAAACATCCTTGAAAGCGGCTGCTGGTTCTTGGCTGCCCGCGCTGAGGAGGGAGCTCTCAGGCAGATGGTGAGTGGGCTGCGTCCAAGGTGGGGCAACGGTGAACCATGCTGGTGAGACCTTGCTCCGGGGGACACGCCGTGACGAGGCTTGATAGGAGGGAGCTCATCTTGCATTTTCATGCCGTGACTGCTCCGGTGGACAGCGGGGTGATGGCGGAAGAGGTGGTCCTGGTTCCCTTCTGCATTTCCCATGGTATTGGGTGCTGCCCCTGAGGGTGTCCTGTTGTTGGAGCGGTGGGGACGCTGAGCTTGCTGGGTCACACGAAGCAGGCCCTTGAGTGCTGAAGCTGCAAGCTTTAAAGGCGTTTTGGCACTTAAACCCTGCAGTGGAGTGCCTGGGAGCCTCAGCGCTCGGACCACCTCGTGTCTGATGGCTTGGCTGGCACAACCTGCAGCCGGATCGCACGCGTCTAGCACAGTTGTCACAGTAAAACAAGACTGGTTCATTGGTCTTGACGGATGCTGTGGAGCTGGTGGTACTTGCTGGGAACCAGTACAGGCAGCAGGAGCACCTCCTGGTCCCTCAGGAGAAAGAGGACTGGAAGAAGGGGTCTGTGGGTTGGGCTGGATATGTATAATATGCTGGGTTTGTAACTGTGCTGGTCCATCTCCCCCGTTCCTTTCTCCACATTGTGGAAAGAAGTGCCTGCAAGCATGCTAATATGGGTCTTTGTCTGGAAAAAAATGTAACATGGTCTTAGTGTCTGTCCATTTGGACGTGCCCAGTATCAGAGCTTGAGCTGCATACCTATTTCATGCATGTTGATTAAATCCTGTATAATGACTGTACATATTTATCCATACATAGTGAAGGTGGCATTTTAGCTTTTAAACTGAGAGCCTGATTCTGACTGCACAGGAGGTCTACAGCAGTTGCTTTTGGTTTGCACAGATGTAAACTGAGAATCACTTTTCCCCCATAATGAGACATTTACAATCACGCACAGACTGTCTGATGTGCAAAGTCAATGGAATTCTTCCTCTCAAAAGCAAATATTGAGGGAATTAGCAGCTGCATAAGCCACTCTTTACTATTCAGGTAATAAATCATAGCAGAGACCGCACAACACGCTGGCATCCTTGTCTCGGAGGAGCAATGTCCTGTAAGGGGTCAGACTTGTCCTGGGGCGAGTGGCCGTGGTGCCATCGAGCTCTGGGAAGTTTGTGGCCCAGCTAAGCTTGGCTCTGCCCAGTAGGATCGAACGCTCCACCAGCCTGTCCCCATCAGCTTTCAAAGTACTTTCCAAACCTGATTGAAGGAAGTTGCTCAGTATCCTGGAAGGGAGATAGAGAAGGAATTTTATTTTATTGTTGCGTTATTACTGCTGTGTGACACGATGTTCGCTTGCCCTAGCTGAAGAGGATTGATAGGATCTGAAGCGGTGCCTTCCTGCTTTTTGGTTTTTAAGTTAACCTACAAACACAAACCAGCGTGGGCCGTGCCCTGAGCTGCTTCAGCATTAAACATGAGGAAGGCTTGATGGAAAGCAACTCCTCTTTTGAATTAAGCAACATTTTTCAGCTTGATGTATCACTGTTTGCCTTGATTTTGCTGGAGGTTTTCTGAAGGACTGGTAACAGTAAATAAGGGATTGCTTATCTGAAAGTGAAGGATTATCATGTTGCATGAGAAAGGATGTTATTTCTATGCTGTCTTGAATATTTGAATTCTACTTTTGCTACTACAAGCCTAGGAAGTGGGTGAAAACAGCCTGTGATGGCAGACAAGATTCTGTTTTCAAAGTTTAAGGTGAGTTTTCTTTCGTGTTTCCTGATGTACTGTCAACAACGCAAACGAGAGAAGGAAACGATGTCTGTCCTTGGCGAGCTGCGTGTGCCCACCAGGCCTTGCCCAGTGCAGAAGGTGACTGAGTTGTTACCCGCGTGGTTTCCTCTCATCAGAAATAACCACCAAAACTGATAAATATTAGGAAAAAGTAAATGAACCTTCTTTTGCCAAAGCCAGTGGCCACTACAATGCTGGAGGCACTTGGCAGTCTGAGAGCTGTGATTCATGTTACACTCCAGAGAGGTCTGTCTCCCCTCTTTTAATGAAAATCAGGGAGTAAGCAGACACTCAGCCTCTGACACACCTAGCAACTTTTTGGCCATGCCTAGCGCAATGTTTGCCTTCCTGGTTTTCCAAATACTGAGACCAAGACGACTTTACAGCACCAGTGACTGGTGTTATTTAGCCATTGAGGTTGCACAGAAATACTGCCACAGGGATTAAATGCTCTGCTACAGGACGGGGGACACTGTGAGCCCCCAGGGAGGGCAGGGTCTCGCTGAACTGGCTCCATTTGGTGCAGAAGGGGAAGGGGAGAAAGGATGTCACAGGCTTAAGTGACTTGTTCAGTCCATTTGCAAGTGATCCTGGGCAGGAAAATGTTGCAAACCCCGCTGAGGACAGAGAAATAATACAAAGGGACCTACAGAGAAGCAAGAAATATGAGCAGGAAACAATAAAATGAGATTCAGCTTGGAAAAATACAAGGGAATACATGTGGGGAATAATATTTAGTAACAACTTCAGTGGGAGGAAAAGAACAGGAAAGCAGAAAATCTGGAGGGGAAAGAAGAGCTCCAGTAAGACAAAAAATGAACAGCAAATTAGATATTTTGAAAGGGAGGTGCTGAGGTTAATGTGCTGAGCTGGGACCCAAACCCAGCTCCCTCTCCTGTGGCCATTACGGGCACATTTAAGCGATGGCCTCTAATCGCACCAAGGTCCGCTTTCCCCTAACGAACGCGGCGCTGGCTGGTAACAGCTGTATGGGGACACGAAAATCTTGTGCTGAGGGGGAGGAATAGGCTTTGACAATGCCAGCTAGTAGGTTAGACGTTTCAGAGCGGTTCTCTGTACGAGTGTTGTGAGGGTGTCGTGTTGCTGGTGAGAATTTTGTGCCATTTCCCCACACGGCTCAGTGGTTTGGGCACCGTGGGTCAGTGCTGGCTGCGCCTGGCGGGATGGGGTACGGCTGCCTTGGGGACACCGATGCCACGCTGGTATGTGCTATGGGCAAACCGGTGCCAGCCCAGCCTGTATGGGTTTTACTGGCTTCTCCCCACCATCATTACTGCTTACTGTGCACACCATCCCTGGCACGGCACAGTACTGACCACTTCAGTGCCTTAAATAGGTAGCAAGGTATTCAGAAACAGGCACTGAAAAAGTATGCCATATACTTTAAACTGCAAGTTTAAGGGGTGTAAACAGCAGGAAAAAAAGAGGAATTGTTTAGGACAGCCTGGGAAGATAGGACTGAGTAACAGGATGAAATTGAGCAAGGAAAAAGGCGTACAGCCTCTCAGGGTAGGTTTCCTGAGCCATGCGTCATCCCGCACCGAGCTGCATGACCGGCCACGGAGAGCCCCATGGGGAGCACTTGGCCAGGGCTGCAGGATGGGTGAAGTGACTGCAGGAGTGTTTCCATCGCTTCTTGCAGCCATATAAGGCTAAAAATGCATTTACGGGCCATGCAGCAGGTTTGGAAGTGTGGCTGTGATTTTTTAAGCTTCAGATTTTTAGGCTCTTGTATTATAAAGAAAAGGAGAAGCCTGGCTCTCCTACGGAGCAGACGCATGTTCACTGGTAGGACCCGAGAGCCGCCGTACCTATCCTCATCCGTGGTCCGAGCTCACCCTTGGGCTGCCACGGCACAGTGCTACGCAGCAGCACCGCACCAGGCTTTTCCAGTTATTGTATTACACGTGGGAATAGTCCTGCTGAATTACAACCAAATAGAGCCTGCTCTTAACTAGCACTGTAGCCTATAAAAAGTAAATAAATGCATCTTTCCTAACCACCGCTTGAGCTTGCTTGGAATTAATCAGCACCACTTTCCACACTTCCTTTCCCCGTGCCATCCATAGTGACTATGTGCAGCAGGAAAAACCCTACCCCTCTTGACTAAGGGAAAAAAATGCCATGGAAAAAAAAAAAAACCAAACCACAACCTATAAAAATAGGAGAAAAAGCTTTGACACAAACTATTGGCCTCTCCTGCTGCGAAGTGCTCGTCACCTCAGCACATCTGCTCTAAGCCGTGGCTGACCCCTTCCTTCCCTGCCAGCTTTCCGTGGCGTTTTGGGACGTGCTACGTACAGACTGACCAAGGCTATGGTTTTTTCCCAACTGTTCTTTCCTATTTGAGTCATAAACAGGCAGATCCAACAAGGCCCGATTTCCTATCCTGGTAACCATGAAGCCAACTGAAACCAAAAATCCTCTGAAAAAATGCCATTTGCTGCAGAGTATTTGGCATTATTTGGAAAGGGCGAGCCTGATGGGGCCATGGGCTCTGCCCATCCTGCTCCCCAACCTCCCTGTGGCCGCTGGCACATGAGGGTCCCCAGCTCCCCCGAAGCTCAGATGCCCGCTCCCTGCTCCCCTCCAAATGTGCCCCCTCAGACGTGCTCCACCCAGGCACAGCCTTCAGCCATGTAAGGTGGTGTTTTTACTGTTACTCTTTAAAAACAGTCAAAAAATCCTAACTGTGCTCTTTGCCAGGGTCTGGAGAACTGGGCTGGTCAGATGTGCTCTTGTAGATGGAGGAAAGTAAAGCATTAACTGAAGGAAAACCTATAACAAAGCAAACAAAAAGTCACACCATAAAGTATTTATTAAGAAACAATGGGGGCTTTTTTCTTCAGTTATAAGAAACACTTTAAAGCAAGTGCCCTTTCAGAGATTTAAAAGCTATATCAAATGGTAACATTGGTTTTACATTATTGTACATGACATGAAAAAAAAAAAAAACAAACCACCACATCTCACAAACTTCCTTTTATTACAACTCAGGTTTCTCTGCCTTCAGTTGCAAATTATTTTCTACAGACTTAAATTTAACTTATTCTTTTTTCTTTTTAACCAAGTAAACAATATACAAAGAAGAGCTTCACCTGAATTTCGTAGGTCAGAGGAGGTATCCTTGCCAGGGCATGTGCAAGGCAGACAGCATGCGCTGGGGGGGGGCGGTGGGGGTGAGAGCTGACTTGGTTCACAGTTGGAAAAGATCACGAACGTGTGGATGGGCTTGTTGTCTGGCCACACGGTAACAGGCCAGGTCTCCCCTCGGGCCAAGCACCTCCAGCTCCTGCCAAACCCACGAGAAGCTGAAGGCACCCGAGCCCCCGTGCCAACTCACTCAGCTTCGGAAGGTCGGCGCGACCGAGCTGCAACAACGTGGGCAGGTAGAAACCTCAGTTTCCCCAGGAGACCCGAGCACGCGTTGGGTCCTTCGAAAGCCCAGCAGCACCCGGCGCCGGAGCAGCGGCTGCCTTGGAAGCTCTGCGGCAGAGCCGAGCAGCCACCCCACACCTCCAGCCTTGCCAAAGCCGGGCTGGAGGGGAAGCTGGGTTTCGTAAGCCAAGCTTTCTGCCCAGGTCCTACACGCTGAACGAGCGATCGCAGCCAGGAACAGCAGATCCGGGATAAATTACCTATTCATTTTCCTGTGTCAGTGGTCAAACCATTCCTGCTCGCTGCAGACTGCCTGTGTGTGGCGTGTTTACGAGTAAGCCATTGGATTTGGCACTGCTTCCACACCTATGTGTAATTTAAAAACAGACATACAAAAAAAATAGTAGTATCACAGTTATTGCTACATACTGATACAGTATCAGACAATAAGAAACCTTTCATCAGCTCTGGTCTGGTTACAGTAATTGCCCGGTTTTGGTATATGCCCTCTGTTGCAGTGTTTTGGCTGAAGAACGAATGGATGGAAATGCAGAAACTAAGGGTTTTGGGTGTTTTGGTTTTTTTTTTTTTTAAGAAACAAAACCCAGCCTTAAATAGCTTGTTTCATCCAGGGTGATATATTACAATTAGCACGGTCTGATAATTCCCAGAATGCTGTTGCCTCTTCAACCTGGACAGGTATTTTTTCCCCAGACGCAGCAAAGCAAGACGGAGCCTGCAGCTCCAGTGTGAAGTGTCCCCCCTCCCCTCACAGCATTGTCCCTCCTCCCTGACCCCCATGGCATCACGGGGAGCTGCAAGCACCTTCATCCTTTGGTTGGATTT